GACAGCCCTGAGCCCCCCCCCCCCCCCCCCCCCCACCCCCCCCCCCCCCCACCCCCCCCCCCCCCCACCCCCCCCCCCAACACCACCCCCTTGCCCAGCAGCCCCCGCGCCCCCAGCCAGGCTGGGGGGCAGCCCCCCCCGGTGAGTGACCCCCAAAACCCCCTGATCCCCCAACCCCTTCTCCCCACAGAGCCACCCTCCCCCAAATGAGCTCGGCCCCTTTAGAGTCCCCCCCGACCCTGTGACCCCCCATTTTCCCCCCACAGAACCACCCTCCTGGGTGAGCTCCATCCCCTCAGAGCCCCCCAAAGTCTCTGAACTGTCAGACCTCCAGAGCCCTGTGACCCCCCCGGACCTTGCGTGACCCCCCCTTTTCCCACAGAGCCGCCCCCCCTGGATGAGCTCGGCGCCCTCGGAGAACCGCCCCTACCACGGGCTGCATGGGGGGCCAGGGGGGCCGGGGGGCCCCCACAGCTTCCCCCACCCCATGGCCAGCATGGGGGGGGGCCATGGGGGGCACCCTCTGCAGCACACCCCAAACGGGCCTCCCCCCTGGATGCAGCCCCACCACCCCCCCATGGGGGGGGGCCCCCACCCCCCGGGGCACCCCGGCCCCCACCACATGGGTACGGACGATCCTGGCTGGGGGGTTTGGGGGGGAATGGGGGGGCTGGGGGTCAAATGCGGGGGGGGGAGGGTGGAAAAGGGTTTTTTGGGGTGAAAAGCGGGGTTTGGCACCCCCCCCAATGGCACAGCGGTTCCCCAGGGTGGGGAGCTGGAAAGTTATTGAAGAGGGGGTGTGAGAATTTGGGAGGGGCTGGGGGATTTGGGGGGAGATTTTGGGAGTGGAGGGGTAGGGATTTTGAGGGGGAGCTGGGGGGATTTTGAGGGGGAGCTGGGAGGATTTTCGGGGTGAAAAGGAGGGAGTTTGGGCAGCCCCTCAGATATGGGGTTTGTTCATCTTCAACCTGGGAAGGTTTTGGAGAGGGGGAGAATTTTTTGGGGGGTGAGGGGGGATTTGGGGGTGAGGGCTGGAAACGGGGAGGGATGATTTTGGAGGTGAAAAGGGCGTTTCCCCAGGCAGTGGTTTCACAGTGCAGGATCCGAACCTGGGGAGGTTTTCAGGGAGGGGCATTTGGTGGGGGTGGAGGAGAATTTTGGGAAGAGTGTTTTTGGGGTGGGGGGGGTCCCCCCCATCCCTAAGGCCACGGTCTCTCATTCCCTCAAGATCAGTACCTGGGAAATGCGCCGGTGGGCTCTGGGGTCTATCGCCTGCACCAGGGAAAAGGTGAGAACCCCCCAAACCCCTGAGCCCCCTGCCCACCCTCCTCTGACCCCCAGAGTCCCTCTGAGCCCCCCGTTTCTGCCCCCCAGGTATGATGCCGCCGCCGCTGGGTATGCTGCCCCCGCCGCCCCCCCCGCCCGGTGGGCAGCCGCCCCCCCCCTCCGGCCCCCTCCCTCCCTGGCAGCAGCAGCCGCCGCCGCCCCCCAGCAGCAGCAGCACCCCCTTGCCCTGGCAGCAAAGTGAGTGGTGGGGGGGCCTGAGGGCTTTGGGGGGCTCCGGGGTGGGGAGGGAAGGGTGGCCCCGGGGGAGAGGGCAGGGCACGAGGGGGTTTGGGGCGTTTCCCCTTCCCTTGGGGTGGGGAGACTTGTTCATTTTGCTCCTTCTGGGGTCCCGCTAATTAGCAGCGGTGCTAACGAGCCCTTTCCCCCCCCAGATACGACGACCACCACGAGCGCTGGCAACGCCTCCCTCCCGCCCTGGCAGCAGCAGGCGGGGGCGGGTGCGGCGGGGGGGGGGGCGGCTTCTTCGGGGGCCCCCCCGCTCCCCGGCAGCCCCTCCATGGTGCCTTTGCCCCCCGGGGTGCAGCCCCCGCTGCCCCCCGGGGCCCCCCCGCCCCCCCCGCCGCCGCCTGGCTCCGGGGGCCTGATGTACGCGCCCCCGCAGTGCCCGGTGCTGAAGGGGCGGGTGC